TTGTTCCTTGGCTTTTTTCACATACACAAAACTTGGCTGTTACCCTCTCTCTTCTCTATCCTATCAGCAGTGTACTGTGCTTACATGATTTGGTCCTTGGCTTGTGTGTGATCTCATGAATTGAGGCCAATAAAAATAAGACTCAGGGTAGGGGCAGATTAGAAAGTTCATCCCACTCCAATACTGCACTGGCTCAAGCTTGGGAGGTGAATAATTTACCTTGAGAATCTCCTTCAGGCGTGGAATACAGAAGTATCATCAGACACAACTACCCTGTCTGAGCCTTTCCTGTCCTGCCCTTCACTGTGCAGTTGATGTGCTCATCAGCTGAGCTGTGAAGGGAAGGGAGGGGTAAAGCACTATCCTAGCACTCCAGAGACACAGGTTCAGGTCCTGCCTCTGCCACAAACTTATGTGACCTTGGGCAAGTCACTTATTCTCGCTGAGCCTCAGTCCCCCAGCTGTAACAGGAGGATAATATTTTGCAATCACACAGAAGCCAATGAAGTGCAGGGCTTTGATACAGTCAGGGCAGGGATGATATGAGGAGGCAGAAAGGGTTTTCCCCCCATGAAGCTGCAAAGTTCTGTCCAGGCCTCTCCTTCGATGTTACACCCGAAGTTGGTGTTTGCTCTGTCACGAACGTGAATTCCCAGTGCAGGGTCTGTGTGATGGGTGACACCATAAGCGCCCAGAAATCCTTCCCTATTTACACCCCCGCTGACAGAGAAGAGGGCAACTAGGCAGTGCTGCTGGCATATTCCTTCGAAAGCCCCACGCCAGCTGAGATGCTTCTGAGCCCTGCCCAGAGCACCAGCACCAGCTTTGCAAGAGGGAGCTCCTGAGATGCAGCTCCTGGCGCAGGCCCGGGCCCTTCTTTGGGCGTCAAGACGTAGCACTAACCCAAGCAGAACGAAGGCTCATGCTGAGTCACCGGCTGCAAAGTGCGCTACTAGAAAACAGGAGCACCCGTCAGGCTCAGCGCTCTGTTTGCACCAACCTGACTTCATTTCTGGCCCTCAGCTGGAGCAGAGCAAGCCAAGATCAACACCCATCCGGCAGGCAGTGGCTACACTGAGATCACCGTTTCGAAAGGAAAGGGGAAATCAAGTGAGGCTGTCTTACAGGAAGATGGAGGTCACCTCGCTCAGGCCCAGGGCGGTGCTTGAGTGCGCTTCTGTGTCTGGAGGGAGGGGCGGAACCGCATGTCCTCTGTGGGATGGACATCAGATATTACCAGGCATTGCCATGTCCTGAATAACAGTCTAGGAGAGCAGGCTGACTCCGAGGGCTGCTGGACACTGAAGTCCATGAGGGCTCACACACTCTGCCTGTCCAGCCCTGGATTTGAAGGGCTCTGTACTAACCACTCCTAGAGGAAGCAGAGAGCATGGTCTAATGGTTAGAGATAGGGATGGGAATGTTCTGGATTTCCTTCCCAGCTCTGCCACGACCCTTGGCCAAGACCCTCCTGCACTCTCTGCCTCATTTTAACCATCGGTAGAACAGGGACAGTAATACTGGGGGATCTGAGAGGAGGGAGGGGGAGAGTGTGTGTCACCTCCACATGAAAACTATGATAGCATAGAATGAGGGGGCCATTTAGGGATCTGGGGCAAAAATTGGGGCTTGGTCCTGCTTTGGGCAGGGGGTTCTACTAGATGACCTCCTGAGGTCCCTTCCAACCCTGATATTCTATGATAAATCATCCTAGCCAAAGCTTTGTCAAACTGGGCCTCAAAAACCTCTAAGGAAGGAGATTCCACCACCTCCCTAGGTAACCCATTCCAGTGCTTCACCACCCTCCTAATGAAATAGTGTTTCCTAATATCCAACCTAGACCTCCCCCACTGCAACTTGAGACCACTGCTCCTTGTTCTGTCATCTGCCACCACGGGAATCCACTGAGAACAGCCAAGCTCCATCCTCTTTGGAACCCCCCTTCAGGTAGTTGAAGGCTGCTATCAAATCCCCCCTCGCTCTTTTCTTCTGCAGACTAAACAAGCCTAATTCCCTCAGCCTCTCCTCATAAGTCATGTGTTCCAGCCCCTTAATCATTTTCGTTGCCCTCTGCTCGACTCTCTCCAATTTGTCCACAACCTTTCTGGGGGGGCAAAATTGGATGCAATACTCCAGGTGTGGCCTCACCAATGTCGAATAGAGGGGAATAATCACTTCCCTTGATCTGCTGGCAACGCTCCTACTAACGCAGCCCAATATGCCGTTGGCCTTCTTGGCAACAAGGGCACACTGTTCACTCATATCCAGCTTCTCAGCCACTGTAATCCCCAGGTCCTGTTCTGCAGAACTGCTGCTTAGCCACTTGGTCTCCAGCCTGTAGCAGTGCATGGGATTCTTCCATCCTAAGTGCAGGACTCTGCACTTGTCCTTGTTGAACCTCATCAGATTTCTTTTGGCCCAATCCTCCAATTTGTCTAGGTCACTCTGGACCCTATCCCTACCCTCCAGGGTATCTACCTCTTCCCCCAGCTTAGTGTCATCTGTGAACTTGCTGAGGGTGCAATCCATGCCACCATCCACATCATAAATGAAGATGTTGAACAAAACTGGCCCCAGGACCGACCCCTGGGACACTCCGCTTGATACCGGCTGCCAACTAGACATCAAGCCGCTGATCACTACCCGTTGAGCCCGACAATCTAGCCAACTTTCTATCCACCTTATAGTCCATTCATCCAGCCCATACTACTTTAATTTGCTGGCAAGAATACTGTGGGAATACTTGCTAAAGTCAAGATATATCACATGCACCACTTTCCCCATATCCACAGAGCCAGTTATCTCATCATAGAAGGCAAGCAGGTTGGTCAGGCATGACTTGCCCTTTGTGAATTCATGTTGACGGTTCCTGATCACCTTCCTCTCCTCCAAGTGCTTCAAAACAATAGTCGTCCTGTATTTTATCCACCCTGTTGTTCCACCCATGTATTGCATGCCCCCTAGCCTGGTGCAGCTCTGCCTGCACCCTAAAATACCCTTTCGATTGACACCCAGAAGGGGTCCCTTGGGATGGGGGGTGCAGAGCTCAACTGGGGAAGGGGATGATCGAGCCCCATACTGCAAGTGCCAGCACATGGTGTGTTTGGGGATGGATCCCCAATGCAGGACTGCCGACTCCTTAGGGAGGGGGATCCCCATGGCGTCCTTGCAGGAAGCTTGTTCATGGAGGAGCTGCTCAAAGACCTGCTGCAAACAATGGAGGTGGGAGAGTGTCTCAGATCAAAGGTGGCAAGAAGCCTTTAGGATGGGAAGTGCTGGGCAGCCTAAATACAGGGGTCACTACCAGCTGTCCTCTTCCCCCGGTGCTGGGTGAAATCGGAACTGGAAGAGGGGAGAGGGAAGTGGAGGAGGAACTGCTGGTCTGGTGCAGCACGTCCAGGTGAGTGGGGGATGTGGGAAAGCAGCCTGCCCTTTGGGTTGGTCTAGCCCTGACTCTTCTGCCTCCAGTGAATTGACTGCCAGTCCAGGGGAGGCTGCAGGTAATACGTTTGCAGAAGATAGTGTGGATGCGCCCCATGGGGACGGGGCTAGGCTACGAACTTTTGTGCCTCAGGTGATGACCGGCTCGTTGGGGCAGTGCTGGGCAAAGGGCTGCTGCTTGGGAGCAGTGACAGGAGAGGCACAGGTGGTCCATGCCTAAGCAGACTAGTCTCCCTCCTCATCTCATCCTCCAGCCAACCCTGCACACCCTCTTGGAGGTCCAGCAACGATGGGCCAGCCTGCTGGGAGGAGGCCAGGTGAGATGTGGGCTAGAGAAAAGCATCCTGGGGGCTCCACGTTTCCTAGTCTTTGAGGCCAGAAGGGATCATTAGATCATGTTGTCTGACCTCACGCAGAATATCCCTTCTTTCACTGATCTGTCCCTTAGGGTGACACCCCCCCCCCTTACTGTATAATATACTGACATGTTAAAACTGGGAATAAGGACTCTTTTAAACATTAACTTGAAGCTAATGATCTTTGCATTGTACCCTTGAGAAACAAATCTGTGATGGAATTGCAATGGTGTTTCCCTAAACTGCCCCTTAAAACAAAACCTTATCCCTCGTATTCCATGTGGTTTTCCCTTGTTTCCATCCACTAGGGTGGGCTCCAGAACGATCCCTCCGAGGGCAGGAAAAGACCTTGGGCTCTTCCACAAGTTGAGTAGTATCAGAGGATGCTCCATAGTTACATGGGGGCACAACCTCCGTAGGGTTTGTCTTCGCTGCAGGATTAAGTCAAGCGTTGCCCCTGACTCAGGTCACACACACACACAGTGGAGTGGAGTGGTGGTTTTCACTGGAGTTGGCTGGCCCACCAGGGGGACCAGGCTGCAGCTGGAGTGAGTTAGCACAATGTGTCAGGGGCTAGCACAATTGCTCAGTGCAGTCCTCCCAAGGCTCTGGGCAGTGTAGTTGCTCTCATTCCCGGTGTGTATTTGTCCACCAATGCAGATCACTTTGTGCTGCCTTAAAAGCATGGTGCCCTGTTCCCCTGGGAGAATGAGTTCAGGGGCAGTTATTCCCACCTGGCAGCCAACGAATAGGAAATGGGAAGGGGACAGACGACAGAATTTTGCAACACAGTGCCTGATTTGTTTTGAATGTGCAATACGTTTTTTTTAGCTGCACTGCATTTGATTTTACTTTATTTGTAAAATCTAAAAGGAATTTCGCTGCCTGCGAAGTGGGAATTTTGCAGCGCTAACCTCTGGGGGGAGGGAGCATCCACAACTCCCTCTCCACACAGTTGCTTGCAATTAACAAAGACAGCAAACCTCCCCAGAGCTCCCATCGCAGAGGGGAACTGTAGCGTTTGGGGTGGTAGCTGGTAGGTGTGACTATTTCACCTCCCGGCTGGCTTCCATGCATTTAATCCCATACTCCCCCCCCCCCCCCGCAACTGCTTTGCAATATACCAAGGAAAGGCTGCAAACCCCAGCTCCCCACTGCGAAGTGTTGCAAAAGCTCCTCAGAAGTTTGCTTCCAGTTTGCTAAGCCAGAAACGTTTTTCCCCCTTCTGTCTTTCCCCTTCCCTGCTTTTTTGGGATCAGCCCACAAGTGACTGGCTCTCCGGTGACGCAGTGTCTACTCTGAGGCTTCCTTTGAATCATTAGCAGACACGCACAGACACTTTTTTTTGGTATTCCTCTCCTCCTTCTCTCTCTTTCCACCCCCCTCCCCTTCTACCCCAGCCCCTCCAGCGTCCTCCCCTCCTGAGCAAGAGGAGGACAGAAGGGAGAAAGCAATTACCCAACTCAGGAGCTCTGCAAGGAGAGAAGCCGAGAGAGAGTGTGTGTGGGGGAAAATCCAGCCTCCATCCAAAAAGAAAACCCAACCCTTCAGAAAAACCTCTCCCTGGGCATGAAACTCACTAATCTCGCCTGCTCTGCATGGCCACGGATGCTGCAATGCACATTCTTCTGCCTCTTGAGCCTTGATCTGGGACTCGGCGCTGCTCGCTCAGGTAGAGTTTGCAAATGTTTTTCCAACTCCTAAGTGTGTCTGTGAGTGAGAGAGTTGGGGGGGGGGGTGCTCCGTTTCTTTGTGCATCGGCTGCTCTGGACCGATTCCTTTTTCTTCCCTTTTTTTGGGAAAGAAAAGAGGGAAAGGAGGCAGTGGGTGGGGGTGTGCAGGGGCTCTGCAGGGAAGGGAGGGCAGCTAGAGCAAAGAGCTAAGTGAAACCAGATGTGGAGGGCTCCCTGGCACTGCTCGAAGTGGGGGTGGGATGGAGAAGGGAGCAGGAATGAAACTACACAGCTCATTAAAAACACAGTAACCCCCCCCCACCAAAAAAAGTGCTTTTCTCCTTGAAGAGCAGCGCATCTCTGCTGCTGGGGCTGAACCAGTGATTCCACCCCTGACAAATACTCCACAGTGCTCCAGGCCAACAAAAACTTTGGTCGATACAAAGTTTTCCAGCAATACGTCCCTCCCCCCCCCCCCCCCAGTGAACTGAAAAATCTGCCCTCTCTGGTATGCATTGGGTACCTAGTTCTCTCTGGGTGACAGCGATTTGGCATGTGTCACTCGGGTGTGTTGTAACGGGGTTGCTGGCCATTTGTTAGGCATCAGTAGCTAGCTAGATTTATTGATGCCATCATGCCAAAGCAGACTCAGCGTGTCTGTGGGGGTCGGTTGTGGTTTATTTATTTATTGTAGTCATTCTTCCTCTTTGGCCAAGTTGGCTAAAATCCACCCAAGAGTCTGGACAACTCATGGTTTGTACTGGACAGAAAGTCTCAATAAATAAATTAAATAAAAGGGTCTTTTCCAGTGTATATGTTTAAGACACACACTGTTAAATGCAGAAGAAAAGTCAGCCTAGCATTAGGAATTCCCAGAAGAATCGGATGTTCGATCACCAGAGGAGAAGAATACAGCAGCACCGGGGGAGCGGAGGGGGTGGTTTAGGGGGAAAAGAGATTATTAGGTCAGATTGGATGTGAATCAAAGCAGCTCAGGAATTTGATTGCCAGCACTGGAAGCTGTGGATGCAATCTGGAACCCTTTTGTCTCCTGAGTGGGAGGTGTTCTGTTTGGTTTTTTTAAGGAGTTTATACTTTTAGGCCCCAATTCAACCAATCACTCCAGTTCAGCCAAGCACATAAGCATGGGCTCAAGACTCATGGGCTGTTAAGCGTATGCTTAATTGCTCTGTTGAACCGGGACCTTAATAGGTACTGATAGGTTATGATTTTTGTTTTAATTTCTCATGATCAAATCCTTATTTTTTTTACCTTGGTAAATATGTGACATGCCAGATGGCCTGCAGCTTTCACGACCTCCAATAGAATAGCCATTTGAACTGTTTTGTAACTCAGGATGTGTCTATTTACATAAGTGAGTGACTGACGTCCATTTAGTTGCTTCCTTTAATTAATTCGGCTGTATTAAAAAAAAAAAATAGGGTCTATTGGCCTAAACAAAAACAAACTTAAACCCTCGGTTTAATTTGAGTGCTCTCCGTAAATCCGTACCAGATTTGTAAATGGCGATTTGCGAGGGTGACATTTTCCTCTCTACATAAGTAACAATGAGAACTAAATTCTGGTCTTGTCCTTGCCCTTCACGGTTCCTGGCAGCAAATGGCTGAACTGGCTGACTCCTTGGGAATATCGAAAACTGGGAGGAATCCGTGATTATTGGGAGCATTGCAGCAGTACGTAGACATCACAACAGAGATGCTTGTGCTAGGTTCTGTGCAGACACATAGTGAGAGACCGTCCCTTTCCCTGTCCTAAAGACTAGCTACATAGGCTCTATTGTTATCCCCATTTTACAGATGTGGAAGTGAGGTGGAGAGAACTGTACATGCGAGTCAGTCTCAAACTGTCTCTCTACAGAAGCTGTAACTTCCAACTCGGACAGACGTAACTGCAGGAGTGGTGGGATGAGCTAGCAGACCTGAGTACGTCTAGGGTTTCAGGTGGGATCACACCTGGGGCGACTAGCCCCTCCCACCATCACAGCAGCATTGCTATTTTTAGCGCACTATCTCAATCATGGCTGGCGCAGGTATGTCTACCTGAGCAGGAAATTACAGCTCCAGTGTAACCGTACCCTAGGCGACTTGCCTACGGACGAGCCAGGAGCAGAGCCCAGGCCTTGCAGATCCCACTCTGATGCCGTAACCAAAAGACCAACCTTACTCCTAAGTAGGTTCAAGGGTCCAGAAGGCAGCCCTGTGTAAAGCTGGGCACCATGTGCTGCTGTTCACATTTGTCTTAAGGCTGGCTGAAATTGCGGTGGCCAGATCTCTTGCCGTCCCTTGCGGCTGTGGCTAACAGGGCGCAAGGAAGGGCCGTGGGAAGAAATCATCATGCGCGGTGTTGTATGAATGGCTGGGTTTATGGGGAGGGTTTTGGCCGGGGGTAAGAGCATGAGCCTGATTGCATGAATTTCTCTGACTCTTCATGGTGTTTGCAAAACTATTTTGAGTTCACAATCCTTTCATGTGCTCCCCCCCCCCCCCCCCCCCCGGCTAGCTGCAGCTCTAGTGAAATTCCAAGGGAAATTAAATTGAAAGACAACCTTCCTCTTTTCCCCCACCAGCTTTTCAAGGCAAAGGGGAGGCTTGTGCTCAGAATTAGGGTTCAGAGCACCTCATCCCCCTTGCTCCCTAGGCATAAGCAGCCAAGCTACTCACAGCATATGGACCACGTTAGCTCTTCTCCTCCGCTTCACTGATGTTTTTCTCACAGGCCTTCTCTGTTTATTTTCCACTGTCTCCTTTTCTGCTCCATTTTCATGTCGGTTCTTCTCCCCCATCCATTTCCTTCTCTTTTCTTTCCTTGGCCGCTCTCTCCTCAGACCAGCTGGTAGCATTCCACTGCAGCTCTGTGGTGGGGTTTGGAGTCAGGTGGGCAGCGTGGCATTGGATACCGCTGCAGGTGATGCCACCAATGGTCTGAGGTGCGCTGGCAAATATCCGGTTTCTTGTCTCTGCTGCTCACGAATCAGGCCTGTTTAGTTTATTGACACCATGCAGGCTGGGCTGCGTTCTGCCTCGTGCATCGTGGGCTGCAATGATGCCCTCTGGGTTCTGATCCCACAATGTATCTTGGTGGCCCTGCATTAGGCAGGGGAGGGGGCCCAGCTGGCCCTTGTACAAGGGGACAAGCTAGCAGGCAGGAAGCGATTCTCTCTTTGGTTTGGGATCTGGGTGGGTTGTTCATTTCGCAGTCATGTTGCTGATCACGCTTTAAAGGGACAAGGCCCCAATTAAAAACCCTGGGGTCCTGAAGAACTGATGCTGGGGCACAGAGTGGCCGTTTTATGGAGAAACCCCTGGTCAGGGGTCAGAGGCGCATTTGGTTCCTGCCAAGTCTCCCCTTCCAGGGCACAGTTAATGGGGGACCAAAGCTGAGTCGCGATCCAGATGATTGCTGCTCTCTAAGGGTGTGGGCCCTTTCCAGTAGAAGTCGTGCCTCTATTTCCTGGGCGCTCTACACAGCAGCTCAGCTGCATTCATGGACGGAGGCCAGAGGGAGTTAACGCTGCTTGTGCATCCGCAGGTTTAACAGGAGATAGTGCTTCAGAGTGTGGCCATTGCCTTGCTGTGCACCCGCCAGAGCTAGGCGGAACATAGAATCATAGAATAGCAGGATTGGAAGAGACCTCAGGAGGTCATCTAGTGCAACCCCCTGCTCAAAGCCAACACCAACTAAATCAGCCCAGCCAGGGCTTTGTCAAGGTGGACCTTAAAAACCCCTAAGGATGGAGATTCCACCACCTCCCTAGGTAACCCATTCCAGTGCTTCACCACGCTCCTAGTGAAATAGTGTTTCCTAACATCCAACCTAGACCTCCCTCACTGCAACTTGATACTATCGCTCCTTGTTCTGTCATCTGCCACCACTGGGAACAGCCGAGCTCCATCCTCTTTGGAACCCCCTTCAGGTAGTTGAAGGCTGCTATCAAATCTCCCCTCACTCTTCTCTTCTGCAGACTAAATAAGTCCAGTTCCCTCAGCCTCTCCTCGTAAATCATGTGCCCCAGCCCCCTAATCATTTTCATTGCCCTCCGCTGGACTCTCTCCAATTTGTCCACATCCATTCTCTAGTGGGAGGACCAAAACTGGATGCAATACTCCAGATCTGGCCTCACTAGTGCTGAATAGCAGGGAATAATCACTTCTCTCAATCTCCTGGCAATGCTCCTACTAATACAGCCCAATATGCCATTGACCTTCTTGGCAACAAGGGCACACTGCTGACTCATATCCAGCTTCTCAGCCACTGTAATCCCCAGGTCCTGTTCTGCAGAACTGCTGCTTACCCAATCGGTCCCCAGCCTGTAGCGGTGCATGGGATTCTTCCATCCTAAGTGCAGGACTCTGCACTTGTCCTTGTTGAACCTCATCAGATTTCTTTTGGCCCAATCCTCCAATTTGTCTAGGTCACTCTGGACCCTATCCTTACCTTCCAGCGTATCTACCTCTCCCCCCAGTTTAGTGTCATCAGTGTACTTGCTGAGGATTCAGTCTATCCCATCATCCAGATCATAGACATGCAGGGATGCAATGGGGGCAATGCCCCTCTCCCTGTTAGTTTAAGTCAGGCCTTTCCATACACTGAGCCTGGAATTCGTAAGGTAAATGAGCTATTAATCCAGGGAAGAGTCCAGGGGCTCACCTGGGGATTGTTTAGCCTTGTTGCTGTCTTAAGGGAGAAACCACTGTGGTATAATTCTTATGGATTTTATTAAAGAAATGTACAAGCAAATATAACCTAAACAAACTATCATTGGCTAAATGAATATAATTTCCCAAAACGCACAGAGGACGGAACGACACAATGATCAAATCTCAGCTACAGTTGAGGTTGAATTGATAGATCGGTAACTACCAGATTTTACTCATGCCTTCTAGGCAGAGCTCCCATTAGAGGTCTGACTCAGGAAGGACTGAGAATATGTGGAAGGGAGCTTGGGACCCAGCCACGCAGATTTAAAACCTCCTCACCT